ATATAGAAAAAGAGTATCTTCTGAACTGTAGTAAATCAACAACAATTGATTCCGTATGATTTTGTAATGCTTTTGACAGTGGATTAATTTGTCACGGATTATGTGTTGGCAGTTGCATTTTTGAACCTTGTCACGCTTGCAGCTTGGAAGCATTTATTACATCTATGAGCCTAACATTCCAGAGATACCCCCCGTCCTCCCTCACCAACCCCACTTACGATAATTGAATAGGAACGTATGTTCATGATACAGAGATTACATTTGCGTACCGCAAGCAATAGGACCTACAGGACGTTCGAACCAAATTCTAACTTTTCTTGCTTGGGATATTTAATAATTTTAACGATAGCGACCAGAATGCATTTTTGGTTCATCGCACATTAGAAAAACTACGAAATAAATTTTTCAGTTCTAAACTTACTGTATAAACGCTCAACCTTCTATAATTCGCTAAATTTATTTTGGTTGTTGTGCTCCTATATTCGGCTTCTATAGATGAACATCGGAAGATACACTTACGTGCCTTAGGGCTCTTGCGTGACGAGTAGACGTCTGTGCCGTGGCTCTCCTCTCTATTACCTGAAGCATTTTCAAAGAATACCTAGAACCCTTTCTTCTCTCACATCCAAATAATTGATGCCTTAAAACGACAGCACATTAAAGCGATAGACAGTCGTATAGCAACTGCACTATCGCCGAAGGTCCTTGCACAGGCGCTGTATAGCCAAACGGAATCTGTATGTATCCTATTTGTCTGGGCAGCGTAGATTCTTTGCGACGTTTTATTGTTCAAGTCGATCTCGCTACGAGGGGAGGACACTCTTTTTTGTTTTTTGTTTTTTTATGATATTTCATTCAGTTGATTTTTTTTAAAGATTTCAAAATTTCCGCTTCTGCCATCCTATATATTTTTCTGTCCTTTTTAGGATTCGAGAATCAACTCTAATCGACCTTGAGGTTAAAGTGACATTATTAACCAGGAGAACAGATTGCTATTTAGGTGCATTTTGTGTACGTTTAAGTGTGCGTTGTATACACCTCCCCCCGGAAAGTTGACAATAAAGCTGGTAGCAAAAATAAAGCTATTTTTAATAGTTTATTACACTAAAAACACGTAATAATTACCAATCAAAAGAAAGTATCCAGATTACCAAGTGTATTATGTTTTTGAGTCTGCTGATGCTTAAGTGGATATACTAAGCTGTATATCCGTATTCTATATTATATCCAATGTAAAGCTTGAAAAGTTTAAAACTCTATATATGAAAAAGATATGCAATTTTTAAGAAAACTGCTAGAATCGTTTCAAACAAAGATATGCACGTGCACAGTAACGTTTCTTAGTAAACACGCATGCGAACGTGCATGCCAGTACAAGTTACGAAAGCTTGAACTTCTTTATACATTTAAGGCTATCCTATACAATCTCCGTCTATTGCGCAATATATTTTTAGCAACTTAGGACAAACACTACGTGATTGCGAAATCGTCTAAGCTAGTTGCAAAACAACTACTGCTCAGAGTAACGCACTTCCATATCCTGACAGCTTCAACTGTTTATTGCCGCTACTTTGGTTCTTATCAAGGACCCCACAGATTCGCAATAGCTAAAATCTTCTATTTGGGATCGAAATCTATTGATGATTACATAATAATAAACGAAACAGTTAACTATGAGTGTAATTAACACGAGTGTATAATTAACTTAACGATATTTTTTCTAACAAGAGTGTCAGTAATTTCTCCTTAGGAAATGGCTGAAGTGCACAGTTTTAAAACAAAAATGTATATGGATTTTACATTTGTGGCAGACATCTGTGCATGTAGACCAGTAGGCTTACGTGATTCGCTTCATAAAAACTCTTCAAAGGTCAAAGCAACGAGCGTACGGTAAGTTGGATATCACACACTCAAGAGAGCTTCAGTCGTTTTTGGGTAGAGATAGATAACGACAAAATTAACATAACTTTACGATAAAAATGCCACATAGCCAAGAAAATAGTAGTGTCAACGGCACTAGACAAGATGGACAACAAATGATGAAAAGAGTTGGCGTATAATAACTCACAATGGGCCTGATGCTCTGCAATGTAACTCCGCTCTTCGCGGGTTTTGGCAGGGGACTGAAGTGGGCCCAACTGTGCCGTAGGCCTCCTCTTGAGTAACCCCCGTAGTAATACTTCACGGATGAGGTCCGGGGTGATTCAATGTACCGGGGGTAGCAGCTGAGAGCCAACCGCGGGTCAACAACCTTTTAACATGCTTTTAGACATCGTACCATAGTGGCTTGATCGATGTTGTTTATGGGAAATAGCCGAGAAACACGTTTATTGGCTGTGGCCGCAAAAATATCAATAGCTATGAATGTGAATTGTAAATTAAAATCTAAGCTAACAGCGAATCGCTGATTAAAGTCTGCAGTATTTAGATGGACCTAATTTTCACTGTAACCCTGTTATGGATCCATATGATTATTCGAAAAGACGATAGGGACAGTAACGTGAAGCGAACCCTAAGTAGCTGTCGGTAGAATTCACAATAGACTTAGGGCAAACCCCATTTGAGGAAGTTCTTACACATCGAAATATTATGCTGTAACAGAAAAACTACGTCGACTAAGCACGGCTATTTCCAATATCAAAATTTTGATTTTTGCAACCCCCTGTATTCCGTTCCAGGGGGAAAGGTGTGCCTCTTGTCTAACCGATCTCCTGGAAACGTCGATCAAAACTACGACGAAAACGATCAATTTGCAATGAATTTTAATACTGCCATATCACTTTAAGCTGATCGGAATATACGTTAATATTGACGCTTAACAAACAATAACATCACAGTGGACATTATAATTTATACATTTATTTCTGCCTTTGTTATAGAAGAACTTCCTTTGTTACATCCTCTGTCAGTGGCAATTTTCCGTTAAACCATACCCATGACGGCATTTTTCTCTTCGCTAGCGTTTTCATTACATATGCATTACGATTTGTTATTTATGTTTCTTGTTTGTTTGTTTGTTTGTTTGAATGAGTCAACAGTTGGCTGTATACCACCATCGTCTGTCGCCAACACAAATCTATTTGTGTGTTCTTTTCGAGACGCAGTCGTTCGCTTGTTACCGAGACATCGATTGCAGAGTCCTGTTTTTATGTTTTTATGTTTTTTTATGTTATTAATATGTTTATCTACGAGGCTCTAGCCATACTTCGTAGGACGTTATGAAAGTGCTCGTAGTACCTATCTTTGGCATAGAACGCATCATCATTATATTACAAAGCGTTGAGGTTTTTGTTGTTCGAACTGTCCAAGCCGTTGTTTACTAGGGTAGATTTCTAACGTGTGCTTATGTGCCTATATATTTGTTGACTTTTATCTTACATAGCCGATGACAGCTTTACGGTTGGTGTGACCCTATTCCTTACGTATGTCCACCAAGTAAATTGCTAGCAATAGGACGAAGCCTTAATAATCATCATCGTTGTTGTGACCTCGTCGTATCGGCATTAATAATAATAACTACGGCTGTTGATCGGCCGTATCACAAGCGTATCACAGGGATAGCAAATCGTGTACGTATCTTGTAATAGGATGGTATATACGGACATAGTAATAACACGGACGACGTTCGCATAAATAATATGATGTAATTACCTATTTTTATAGATATGGCGCCATCGGAAAAATTCTAGGCGTACGCAACGTTTGCCACTGTACAAAAGGTTCAATTTAGGCTGGGTCATCGTATGGGTACATGGACGTGTACACAGAGATTTTTTTCGTACACTGTAAGCGCAAATAATGAGATATTTCCATCGTTTCATTACATTACTTTCAACAGCAATACGATAATTAATGATGATAATTATAATGGGTAAGCATAGTGGTAATAATGGAACAAGATATTTTACATGACTTAGATAGAACGCGTGGCCAGGGAAGAGAATCTGCATCGAACAACACTGTTTTTGTAGCTCAGAAATAAAGCAGCATTAACGTTCAGCCTTATCGTTGTGCGGAAGAAGATTAAATTGTCTTTGGTCACGTGGGCTGACACTCGGTGATGTTTTCTTGTTTTCTCTATAATACCGTCTAAAAACAGCGTCAAGCCTTTCTAGCAAGCTTGACACATGAGTCTTTTTGATGAAATAAAAAAAATCAACACATACGTTTAGAGGCTTCAGAACATTCGTTGGAACGTGTATGTATATATATATATATAGTGGGTGAAAAGATTGCTTGAGAAATTCTAAGGGTTCCTTCACAATAATAAGATTTTGCAATTATCTATCGCTTAAGTGTTAATGACTCGGGTCTTGCCTCAAAGTGCTTATGCCGCAATACCTGAGTCTACCGCGCACCGTTAGACGTATTTTTCCAAAGTCACGAAACGCCAAAAATTTCTTTCCTTTATAATACATTCGAGTGTGATTTTACACCACGTAACTAACCGCTCGGAAGAGTTGAGAAAAATCGCAGATACTATATATAATATATTTAGATGGGAAATTACGCGCGTACTACATATGTCAGTTGTCGCTGTGTTAATTCTTATTTTACATGTTCAAGGAGATAGTATTTGAAAGATTTCTAATTCTTTGACTATTTTGAAGCTACCTGTATTAAGGACAATTATTTTCCACGAAAAGTGCCGTTTTCAACCATTTTCTTTGTTGCTATATCTATCTAGAACACGCATGCACACACGGTTGCACATCTATTGAGAGATGATGATGTTTTTTTCATACGTTGCGTAACAATACATAGATTCAGTCACGCATCATTACTTGAATATGTGAAACATCCGACCAGAGTACGGCCATTCGATATATCCCCAAAGGCCGGCTTGGTGCGCAAAAACGGGTTCTCGTTTAACAGTATTGAACTCCCTGCCTTTGTTATGGCTGACAGCTCGTACACTTTTAGCTCGTGCAGTGAGTGTATCGTGCTTGCCTCGAAAGAATAGAATAGTTTCGTTTGCGTGCACCCTTATCTCTTTGTGCTTTTTTTTTTTTTTGTTACTGGCCATTCTTCTTGTCGTCAGCGATAGTATTGTCTTCGTGGTTTTTGGCGTTGCTGTCTCGTGCTATGATTTTCACTGCACGCCTATATCGAATCTAGACAACTTAGCGTTTTGTGAATGTTAGTGTTACATCTTTTGTCGCATGCTGCCGTTCAGATCGGCGAGCGTTAGAAGATATGATTTGTTTTTGTCAATTATTGTCTTAGTTTGTGTGCAGAACCGGCTAGTCGAACCTTCAGTCTGAATAAGCCAGATCGTTGTTTAGAGCCGCGTTAAACAATACACGGGTCGTGTGAGTAAAGAGACTTACTAACCGTTCTTTTGCATTGTGTATTATATGGAATCATAGTAAAAACAGAAAAAAAGGGGCAGTTCCTTGTTAGTCCGTAGATCATTATTTTCAAAAATGAACACCATTTGCTTGATTCTCGGGCAGGCCGAAAGCCTTTGTAGAGCTGAATGAAGTATTTTTAATCTGACATAAATTTGAACTAGCAAACGCAGCAGTAGCACATGACAGCCATATTTGCTTTGTGCCTCGTATGGTAGCGTTTTTATTAGTTGACCATTTCAGATGTACGTGGATATCGTCAGTCAATCAGTCAGTCTAAAACGGATTCTAACTTCTATGGATGGTACTCGATGTCGTCGGTATCTGTGCATAATCGCAGACCCGTAGAAATCGGACGGCCCGTGGAACTGTGCCTTTCTATGAGCATCAAATTTTTCAATGCGGTCACGCTTACAAACTTCGACAGAACGCTGAGACTAACAGCACAACTGTCACTGTTATAGCAATACAGGACGATGGCCTTGAGCCTGCTGAATGTGGAGTGCTTACAAAGGTGTAGTATGCAGCGGCCAGAAAACTGAGTATCCGATTCTCGTGGTTTTGAAGCGCCAACGCCGAATCGGATGAGGCTCCCGATGAGTAGTGTTCACGTAGTCGAAGAACACGTACGGCGTTCTGACTAAACTCGATTTCTTCTGTCGACACGCATCTCAGTTTGGTGTCCTGGCCCTTGCCGATCATCGGGAAAGCCGGATCGTTGAGTCGGAGACTAAGCTCGTGGAATGTATGCGTCGTATTGTCCTGCATCTTTTGAGTAGTGTATACCAGTTTCGAGCCCGTGATCTCTTTCTCATTGAGAAGCCACATGAGTCGCACTGGGCTTCGATCTGAATTGAGGTAGGTCTCGGTCCGGCAACTGAGTTTCACATGATCAGACGGATAACGGTACGACTTCTGCAATCCTGTCACAATTGGACCGTCCAGACTCGCGGATGTTTCGACATGTGTCCCCTTATTCTTAAGCTTGATTTCCTCACTGCTAACATTGAATTCTACGCGAATAAGTGAATTGCAACGCAACTTCATTTCACCCCGCCAAAGGTGCGATGGTGTAAGCGTGAAAGTTAACGTCTTGGTTATCAGGCTTCGACCTTCAGTATCCATAGAATAGGACTCGAGAATGTGCTCTGCCCCTGCCGGCATCTGAAATTGAGGTGCAAAAAGCACAGATATTGTTCAATACAGAAAAGCATCCATAGCGGGTAATCTCTCAGCTCTAAAAGCATAACACACATAATGAAACAGAGAACTATAACGTATGCCTATTAATTTTCTCCTATTCATTTTTCATATAATTGCTAATGATTACGACGCTTTACTTTATCCAAAATGGAACGTCTGACGCGTTGGCCTGTGCATAATACTGTAATACAGATTCCTAAAAAGCACTGGCATCTGCCCTGCTAGTCCTAGTAACATCACGCCAATAATTTACACGCTTAGATCTTTTCCCGCAGAACACATAGTCAATGCTTATGTATGTGTATACTTATCGAGAGTCTGTCGTAACGGCTATAACGGCGCATTCATTGTCATTGTACCGACAACTCCACCCTCTTGAGTGACATGGCGTAACTGCCATGCTCTGACAATAGCAGATCTAAGTCTTTGCTCATCGCTCCTTGTATCTAAAAGCGTGTGTACAGTTCAGGGCGGATCCAGTCTGGCGTTATAGTGTATGCCTCATAGACACCTGGCTTTCATGTATATATATATATACATAGCAAGCTCTCATTCGTAGTTTTTGTTTTTCGCTTCAGTTTTAAAGGTATACTAACTCATATTATCCAATTGAAATTTCCAATTGGTTATCCCGGATCGTGCAAAATGTCGACTTAGGCCCATATAATTGTGTTCTTTATATGTAATTGCATAAGCACAAGGAATTTGTACTGTTATCATATAGGATATTTGATTCATCGTCTTTAATAGTTAGTTTTCGTTTACTTACTTTGATTTCGTTGATGAACCAATCCAGGGAAGCGTTGGGTTTGCTCGGTCCGTAGCTGCAGGACACGTTGACCAAATCGCCGATTTCGTAAGCTCGTCGCTCTAACACGCCCGACAAGATAAGTCCATTTGATGGGATTGCTGAAAAACCCAACATGCACCAACAAAGTTGAATCGTGGTTTAGATGGAAAATAAAGTAAAATGCCTATAACAATTTCTTCTGCTGCAGGCACAAGGGCACCCCGAAAATTAAATAATTGCACAACACTCTGTACTAGAAGCAGAGCCCCGCGAGGAGTGCAAGTTGCCATAAAGGCTCTATAATGATACAGATTTATGTAGTCCATAGAAGTATTCACCGTCTTCTTACATGTGGACAATCACACTTTAGTCCCGTTTTAGCTTGGAAATGCACATCTTTATACAATCTAATTGGAAAAGCAATAAAACGAAGAACATCGTATATTTAATACAGCTTTTCATGTACTTTTCAACAATGTAAAGATAATTTTCTTTTTAACAAGTAAAGTAAAATCTCTGAAGATGTTCGTTGTAATCCGCTACCAATAGGCTGCTATAATGTAGTGAGGTCCAGTAACCTGGACGTTAGGTGGAACCGCGTATCATGAATAGAGTCACCTGAAGAAGGGAGGTGTAGTGGACTTGTCCTTATATGCATCATCCATCGATACGAGCGTCGTTTTAGAAACGTTAGCTAATGAGGATCCAAGTGGAAGGACGAAATACGTCAATTTTTGGGGGGTTTGGTACAGGAGGAGCCAGAGGAAACACGACAGGAACAGCGACAACTAACTGAAGTAAAATACGCTGCTATGATGACAGAGTACATCCGAAAGTTGAAAGCCAGTCAGCGAACTCAATTTCCCTAAGTTTCCTGCTGAAGAAACTTCTGAGTCATAGATGTTTGATGCTTCATTTTTACCAGGACAACAACGAACCGCAATTTCAGGTATTTATCGAACAAAGACCCAACTCTTGTTCAGTTGCTTTTTGGTTGAAATATTACCAATTAAACTAAACGCCTGTTAATAGTAAGTGAAATACTGACAATGGCTGTGACGAGACGGTCCGGTGGCCGACGGAAGTGAATCAGATACGCCTGCTTTTGCCCCCTGTCTTTCTCCCTATCGTTGCTTCTGACAATGTTTCAGGATACCCTGCGGCTTCCGTCATTCATATCTTCCCCCCCCCCCCCCCACACCTGTTTATATTCTACCCGCTTACTTTGCTGTCCCCTTCTCGTTGATCATTAAGTCGACAGACGACGGATCGAGGGAGACAAGACGCAGAAAGGACGAACCTGATCAGCATGTTGCAGGCAAACAAACTTGCGAACCCCAGTCTCCATTTATCCCTTTTGCTACGAGGCCGATCGGCACAAACCTTCTTAATTCGTTCTCTTGAGGAGAGCTCGCAGGAAGCAATTAATTATGCCTTAACGATGGCAATTATTATCGTAGTCCTTGTGGGTAACAATAATCAGAATCATCCTCATCATTATTATCAAAAGCATCATTATCGTCATTAGCATCATCACCGTCATCGCCATCAGGACACAGGTAAAATGGTGTTTGTAGTAGTGCGTCAGTCATCCTCTACCTGAGCCACACATAGAAAATGAGCGAACTGACCGGCCTTACACTAACAAGCGTACTATCGGCTAGAGCTCTCAAAAGCCGCTCGCGAAGGGTCCTGGAGGACATTACAGGACTTATGAAAAATTCAACCCCCTCATTCTTTCCCATAAACTCTGGGGTCCAATTACTTGCTTTCTCTTTAATCCTGCTATTGTCTTTCGTTATCTCGCTTTCATACGCCCATACTAACTTCATCACGACTACAACTACCATCGCCACGCTTGCTAGAAGAAACGAAGCAACAACGTTCAACCGGTGTGCGTAGTCGTGTACCCCTGCGCTCCATTCGTGTTTGCTACTGAATGCGGTTCTCTGGGAACCAAAGCATCTGAAGCGAACCGTCGGCGAAAATACTGGGGTGTCGTCCGACAACCAGACCGCAGTAAGCTTACGAGCGTTGCTACCGTAGCTTCAAAACGTGAATGCATGAAGAATCACAATCATGAAGATAACCCAATAATGAAATGTGCACTGTGTCACCCTGTTAATGCGATTCCATGGCTATCCGGTGGCGCTCTGAACTGTCACAAGTAAATAGTTCTGGCCAAATTCATACGACCTTGTACAACAGAACGGTGTCTTTGTGGAATACATACGCTGTACGTATATATAGTATTAAGAGAGTTTGAACTGTTGCCTACATTTTGTTAATGCTGTCACGGTCATCTTATAACGTTGCTGGCCGGTTTTTTTGAACACTTTTGTTTTTATTTTTTTTTTCCTATATATATATAAAAATGTGTTGAGTTCTCCGCTCTGTAGGACAGTAGCAGACAGACACAGAGAGGAAGAGAGAGAGACAATGGGATACAGAAAATGTAAACCAAAGGAGCGATCAAAAACAAATGTAAAAAGAATAAACCCAAAAGCCCAGAAATCAATCACTACAAATTCCTGATCTTGTCCTGCCTTCAAGTGGCGATGACTTTTAGGCTAACACAGCTTTCATACCAAGCAGTTTCCATAAGGCAAAGTTCTACAGCAACCTGATTTGGGTGAAAATAGATGATTATATAGGTATGCCTTTGTTTCGAATTTTACGACCGATATCGCCGTTAGGTACTTCACAGGACGGCTGACTGGCTTCCAGCACGAAATGAGGTTCATCTGTGCCCGGGTTCGAACCTAGACCTAAGTATAATTATATAGCTGTCTGCCGAGAAGGGGTTCCTGTTGGCACGTTAAAACGCAAGCATTAAAACGTCTAGATGTCCCAACATCAACTGATATTTCAACATCGATAGATTAAGTAGGCTATGTTTACTTCGAGTGCCGTTGGAAGGCTGCACTATTTGTAGATCTGTTCGACCTCAACCGCGACCTAATCGAGGATAACAAAGTCGACATTGAGCTAGCCTCAGTGCCGACTTGTTTCCTATGAATTTTAGATCGACTCTTATCCACGTCAAGGTAGTGGATCACAAACCACCGTCTAACGCCTTATCTACGATGGTCCGACATCGACCAACATTGGCGTCGAATAGAACACGTTTTTATTGTACATGCGCACACAGCAGTAGGTATGCATACACAGCGCATTCGCTTAGCGCTTGCCTAGATTGGCCTACCTTCATTAGTAGCTGGGAGGAGTTTGCTTAAAAAGAATAGATCTTGCATAGGAACTAGACAGACACCTGTATACGCTTCCGTACGGTTCCCTGTTTTCGCTTTTGCATCTTTTTTGCTTATCAGCCACATCTCATCGCACAAAAGCTATCAGCAAAAGATGGTGGTCGAATATGACGAAGAAACGAGATCTCTAAAGAAGCCAACTGTTTGTGTTTTGATTCTCTTTTTTCTTCGACTTGCGTCAGCATCTTCCACGAAACCTACCGAGAATCTCCACATTTTGCAAGATCTTCTGTGCTTGTGCATAGCTGTCAAATTGACAAGAAACCCCAATGAAAAGCAGATCGAAGCATCATGCCAAAGCGGTTGCGTTCAAGGGGGCCGCCCTGCCGCTTTGGGGTAGTCGTCCTAGCCGGTTGCTACTGCTTATGTTAAAGGTGGACAGACTATTCTAGTGGTAGGTCGTTTACACAATATTTATACTGTTGTGGAGTCTCTAGCCAACAACTATTGAGCTCCCCAACCTGATCATGCAGTGGCCGTGTGGGGCCAGTTTTGTAATACAAGACACCGCGTACGCAGAAAGCCCACGGCGAGCGGCAAATATAGAAAAAGGCAAAATAAGAATTTTTTGTCCGTTTCCTTTCCTCACCACCGCTTTTTCGGTAAACGGCTGGAAATACGCACGACTAAGCCTGAAGCGAGCCTTGCCCGAAGATATGTTACAAAAATAATTGAGCGGTTTACCAAGCGTAGAAGAGATGAGTTTGACGGGCCTATACCTGACACGATTTAAGGCGACGCAAGATATATAATAACAGGGAAGAGGAGGAGCAAAACAGGAGACGAGACGAAACGATTTTGTTCTCTAAATTTCGGAGGAATGAACATCCACGCGGATGGTCTTGTTTCAATAACAGGAAATAAACTAGGCCATATCTCGTCGTACAAGATTCGTCCACGTGAATGATTTTTGCCGCATCGATGCGCCGCTTATCTTTTGATCACTTCTGGCCGTCCAGCAGAAAGCAGCCTTACGCAATCGTAATAATGACGACAGCCTTATAAGAATGCGGAGGCAGAAAACGTCGAGAGACATTCGTGTACCGGAGTAAACAGAACGCTCCCTCGATCAACCACTTGTTGATATCATAAGAAAACGTGAAAGAGATTTACATAGCGATATAAAAGCAGTTTTCAAAGAAGCAGCACTGAATATCGGACACAGTCGAATGAAAGGACCACTTAAAATGTTTATACAAATGTGGTTATTACGCTATGGGAGTTTTAGATACGTTAAAATATAGAGGACCTTTCAACCTGTACATTTAAGTACGCTCTCAACCCCACACAGAACGTAATTTAGTTAGATATCGAGAAAAATATACGTTAGTAACTACGAAGACCTAAGTAACGTCGAGACGGATGACTAGATGAAGCAAACTGCTTAATAATTGAAAGTGAAGGACAGGTTTTTATGATACATTCATGGAGTGTCCATCTAATACCATCAATGATAGTCAATCCGTAAAAGCTTAGTTATATCTGGCTAGCAAATTCGGTAGATTAAAACGATGGGTCGACATAGGGGAGCCTCACGCCTAACAGATTATATACCTATCTTTGTATAAATTAACGATCTCGAAAGCCCTAGAATATATTGTAATTGTGCATAACTACATAACAAACAGATAATCGTACTTTGTTCTTCTCTAAATTGCTGCTATCAGACTATGCCTATTCTGTCTGACATGTGTTTGGTTAAGGATGGTTAATATATTGCAATAAATCCATATAATATTCGTAGAACATGTGTCGTTTTCCTACACAATGCACTTACCTACGACAGTCATATCCTTATGGGCGCGCGCCGTGTTAAAACTAGGAGACTCTCCCGACACCTCGCACCGATAACGGCCTTCGGAGTAGCGGTCGGTGTGACTCAAATAGATGTTAGCAGGATTCGGCCTCGACCGTTCCAGCTGAAAATAAATGTGCATAGTGACATACGCACGTAAAATCTGAGTTATATAAAGACGAATATAAACGAAAACAGGCAATATCGGCTCGCATTGACCCACTGAAATGTGCAAGCCTCGAACGAGCCTCGACATAGCCGACAAGGCGTAATGTCAGACATCACGTCAGCACACACAACACTGAGTCTGTTGTCATGTTGCCTGCTTCTAACTCCGATCGCCGTCTCCTTATTTCTACTTGTTATTTTTCTTGTAGCGTCCATCCTGACAGAGAAGAGGGTAAGGAGCCGAACCAAGTGTGAAATACAGCGCCAAATTCGCGTCGGCGCTGACCTCCCTTTTGCAACGTCTGCTGTGTGACAGCACACCATATACACGATTCGTAACCTGGGTCTGATGGAGTTTTCTTTGAATGCTTCGCTGTTCGCCTGCCACCATACCTCCCAATTTAACCCCAAAACTTACACATACTATAGGCACATACTGTCTTACAGCAACGACAGTCCCAGCGGACTCTCTCTGGCTGTGTTCCTAGGTTAACGTCGACAGTTTCGATGGTTTTCCTGGTTTCGCTGGTTTGTCCTGCTGCTCTCACTGTGCCCCATAAAAAGTCAGTAACATATAGATTTGCTCTTATACATGTATAGTAATAATGGGACTAGGGCTAGGATAGGTTCGCTGAGTCTGCTGCGTTTCGAGTGTTCGGAGTGTTAGTAAGTTTGCTCCTCGCTGCGAATCCCGTTCGTAATGGTATGTCTGTGTGTCTTCCTTGTTTGTCGAGGCTAAACCAGGAAAAGCGAAAACGGCAGAAGCAGGGATTTACAACGGCTCCGCCTACACAAAGGAGCACAGCTAAGCAAGGTCTAAAAGAATAGAGAAGGTCTTTGTTTCTTAAGGGGAATCGAGTCGTACGAGAGACTCGGAGGGGCATAGGTAAAGAAGGAACAAGAATTTCAACAGGAAGAAGATTTCAGCTAAAGATACTTATAGAGAGAAAAGTAGTGACAATAACCTCGGTATCAACGCCAGCAACGAACGAACTGTGACTGACTCCTGCTGCTTTTTTACCTATCCAAGTTCTCTCAGGCTGTAAACGCGCTCCCGCTGCTCCTGCAGATAGCACCCTCAACTGCTTAGTGAGAACCCTTGTGCGCGTGCGATCCTAACGCAACATTGCTAAAGTTCATAACATTATAAACCCACTATACTGGCGAGAACTGACAAAATGGTTAAAACGCACTGTAAAAGCATTTGACTAACGAGCTTACTAGATTAAGTACAAAGAATAGATTAGTCATAGATACTTCGATAGGGAGGAATCAGTTACTGAGGGGAGGCATGATATTCAAGTGTAGCCACGAAAACCTTTACCATGTTGGCGGAGCTATTCTCTCGCATTCCATGTTCTCTATCACTCATTAGTGTATTCTCTGAGGAGGCGATGAAAAAGAAAGACAATCAGACTGTTCGATGCGAGGGCTCTCCATTGTGCGCAAGAATTAAGTTGAATGTTTCCAGTCAGCTTGATCGTATCGTGGTATTGAGTATTTTCGAATTAAGGCCAGATATGATGATTGCTACGTAGTGTTGTCCTGCTGTTACGCAATTGGGTTCCAAACCGCTGTCATAATTTGGTCCATCTGCATATGGTATCTGTTTCCTCTATAGACTGCAAACAAAATGGCTGCAAAATACGAAAGTGTGCTACCTATGGAGCGGAGTTTGTTGTCGTACCGCTCCCGCTTTTATTCCGGCCGGTCTACAACGATTTAACTCAGCTACACTTTTACGCCATACGTACTTTTCTTCGATAATTGCAACTACTACCACATGTACTGTTCTTGCTGGCACTTAATGCGGGCTTTTCTTTCTCGCGTACTCCCTCATAAAGCTCATAAATCGAACTCCGCTGCCAGACCAGAGAGGAGACATGTAACATAGCGAAACAAATCGTGGTATCCGAAGTTGGTATCAGGCAACACGATGGTAACGACAAGCTACATCCATGTGCAATGCGTTGCACAGCTATGTTTCTTTGCTGCTACCGCTGACACTGTTCGATGGCAAGGTCACGATAGAGGTATGCCACAACGTCAATGACAAAACAGATAATCTACCCTTTTTTCATCTGGTACCTTGGACGATGTACGTCACCTTCGATCTGCGCCTTTTTTCCGAGACTCGGATCAGTAAGTGGCACTAGTGCTCCGTTTGTTGTAACTGATGGTAAAAAGAATAATCGGTATCGGAGGCTATCTGTGTATTGACTGCTTTTTTGTATCAATCAGAGTGTAATTTGCGTTCGATTGTCTACGCTATCCCATTGCACAGACGTCGCTTATTTGCACTCAGTGTGCTATATGCAAGAGCGACAACAGGGCTCTGTGTGACAAACCCTAGACAGGTTTCATGGCATGGGGCGAAGGGTAATACTGTGAAAGGGCAATTAAAGAAAGAGACCAACTATTGCCACCAGGGTGTAGTCTGCTGCCTTTTTAGGTAGCAGACTATGGGATAGGATAAGCTGCGCTGTCATTCCTCCTGCCGGCTTTCTTTTCAATTCAGAGTTGTGTCGTCATAATATACTTAAGAGATTTCATGAATACATTTCAAGTGCCGATATCTGTAAAACAGTGTAGGGTATCCGAAACAGGTGACGCCGACTGAACTATTTGGGTGCACGTATTTGAAACTTTAGAGCTCTGCATCGTTTGCTGATTCGTTCGAATGTGCCGTATGACGCACCCGTAAGCGCTACAACCAATCATAAAGAAAATAGAAGTGGCATGAAATGTATAGAATTTCAGCTCTTTTCTAACTTAATTACGAAACTAAGTCATGGCACAGTGGTTCTTCTGTTCTACAGTATATACGTACGTTCTTCAAATAGACCTCTACAGTACATTGATGAACTGCTCGACGTAACACCTGCCCAGATTCTGTCACTGAATTATAGAATTATTTTGAGTTTACAGCGGCAAGCTGGCGGTTTTTTGCTATTTCAAGTGCATATATATATATGCATTTGCTGTCTTAGGGTGAGGTCCACTTTTGATCTACGCCCGTCCTCTATTCATGGCGGTCCAGCTCATTCAATTCACGTGAGTTCCGAAAGGATGGTCCACTTCAGCTGAAGACAGACCCGAATCCTCAAAGAATATTTTATTGTTCATTAGGTTACTAGCGTTCGATGTACGATACGTAGATCGATAAATAGGTACAACACTGTATGTGCCTTATCCGCTAGCAGCAGCGGGGAACGCCATGGGATGGCGTCGTTGCTTATCAGTCTAATTAATGTCCCGCAACCTAAGAAGGGATTAGACATTTGTCCATTCGTTCCCTGTTGTTCGCTAGTTCTATTGCCTCGCTCTCGGTACGTTTCACGTTTGCTTTTGCTCGCCCTCTGCTTCTAGGTGCTTCTGGTCGGGTGTAGCAATGCTGTTTTCGCCAAAGTAGCCTGGCCGTCTCTTTGTCACTGCTGCTGTCCTTATATCGACCAGTCGACTTAGGCACTTCAGCTTCTATTAGCTCAAATATAACTGTACTACATATCCTGGTGCAGTGTGCTGCTAGGTATCCTCCCTACAGCTGTACAGCAGTCAGCAGCCCTAACGCCAGAGATGTGTAAGTGCCTGTCTAGGTAATAGCGGCATTGTTTGTCCGTCCGTCTGTCTGCTATGGACGATTAACCTATGCTTGCCCTAATGCAGACAGTGCATGTCCGTGTCGTTGGTCATCGGTCGTTGCGCATTGTACTTAGAGACCCTTTCTATATTTAGAGCAAGCGATGCAACAAGATGTAACGCAATACGGGATCAGACTCAGCAACAAAGCGAAACGAGGTCACGACTGCTACGCATCGAGCAGCAGAAGGAATCGGCAAGAAGGAGTATGCGACCGAAAAAAAAAAAAAAAGCTGCCCAATACTTGAGCCTGATGCCAACGTCTAAGTGATAAAATACATAAACAAAGACAGGCCTAATCCAGCAGGAAGCCTCATCATATTGCACTACCTACATTTACGCCCCATGATTTTGTGAAAGACAAGATAATACAAAGAAACTTACACCGTGCGTATAAGCATACTCGGTGCATACTTTTTCAATTCTTGATTTGTAAAAGTTCACCTACATGTTGGAACTAATTAAGAGCTTAATAGACTGGCTAAAAGTTCAGCTTCCATAAATCCTCCAGTTCCAAAGGTGCATAACTGTTAGTACAAGTAGCCACAAACATAATTCTGTTGAAAAAAGCCAGCGTTACTGTTATACCATCTATATATATCTGCAGGTTATTAAAATATGATGGCTAAGTATGCTGAGCTTAATTTATTATTATTACTCTTAAGCTCAATACTGCTTACCGGCAGATCTTAACTACTTACGTCTATATACACTCCGGTGAGATTGTAGCTTTTGATTTTGACGGGTTCATCGAAGGGCATATATCCTAATATCTCAACGTTATCCTTATACCATTTGAGTGAATAGATGACGTCGTCGCCCTGATCATAGCTGCAATTTAACCAGGTACCTTCACCCGCAACAACGACCGATGGCACCGATAAATGCGTCAGGCGTAGAGGCAATCCTGCGAATTTAAATAGAAATGCACGTGAAAACTAAGGAATCATAAAATAAATTAGTTGTATTACTGAATAAACTGTAAATGCTTTAATTGAGTAATAACAGACACGCTTGCTGATATGCTTAGTTGGGAAAGATGCGTGCATCTGCTACCCTTATCCTGTCTATCGTAAAATAGCAGTACTGTACCTTTATTGCTCGTTCCCCCTACCACTAATACTTCGCGTACGCGATATTTCTCCGCCGTTAAGACGGCCGCCGTCAAGGGATAACATCCTGTTCTCTCTCTAAAATCTCCCCGTTCCGCACTATCAGTCCCTATTCTTAAGTCGTTTAGCTACTTGAATAACTCAGCTCCACCCTCTTATTTTACAGATTTTCGGCGTTAGGATCTCTGTCAATGGTTGAAGATTAAATAGGTCTGAGCTCGGGCTGGATTTATAGAGTAACGTCTGGTCGTCTCATCTTCCTCGCCCGTGTCGACTACCTTCTTTTTTTCTACGCTAAACAAATCATGCGCAATTAGGGCCAAGCGGTCTCCTTAGTCCTTCGGCGTGTGAAGGACCCATCCCGCACAACTCAGATCAATATACATTCACACACACACACACAGCTTCCGGCGCTGGCAAAGCAACCCACTCTGCCCATCGCGGTCCGTCATTGACTACCGTTGGTCGGGCATGGTGTGCCATTTACTCCCATGAAGGCAGGCAAGCCAAGTCTCGCTAACTTCCCTTTCTTCTTTAATAGACCCTCGTTCGTCTGACTAGCCTCGATCCAATGCAAGTAGCCTGTCGCATCAAATGGCGACCAAGAGCCCGGATAGCATATCTGCTGTCTGTCTACAGCGATTTAGGAAATATAGACTTAGGGAGAAAAGAAGCACTACTACATTTTTTACCCGCTTCGAGGGCTGACATAGACCTATCTTACCCTTCGTTTTGCACGTGGTTCGGCCTAGAAGGCTTCCTATTTTCAGATTCAGCTCACCCCGCTCGCTCATTCCGAAAAGTCCTGAGTTTGATCTACAAAAATGGGCTATGCCGCCGTGAGTAATTTGCGAACTTCAAGAAAAAGAAGAAAAGGTGCCTGCATATTCACAACCATACACATAGACGCACGTACACACAGCACGTTCTGCTGGTCGCTTACATACGCTCTCGTTCGTTCAGTTTGAGCTTCAGTAGAGGCCTCGCTACTACTAAGTGGGCAAATTCTGTTAAAAGTATATGCATATATGTCTAGTATCATATAAACGCGATAGTGAAAAGCGGTTTCCGAGATGTTATTGCGCAAAGATTGGGTACCTACAAGACATTCTTCTAGCCGAAATAGACACGACGGTTCTCGTCAAATTATTAACTACTGAAACGATGGCAACGTGTGTAGATGCGTTTATCATGTTTAGCTACGTAATTTCTCAATAGAATCCTAGCTTTTTAGCTGTTTCAGTCCAATGGTCTAGCTTGATAGTGCGCTGGAAAAGCAAATGTACAATTACGAAAGAGAAACGTTAAATTGTAGTGGCAGTTCGAGGGCACTTCCTGTTTACAGTGCGAGACATGAAACCCCAATAATTTTCGTTTTCTAACAGTAATAATGCAAATAGGCACTTTAGCATTTACTATAGACAATTGTGCAGTTTATTTTTACCGTGTGCTTGATTTACTTCTTTATTTATTCGCTCGTTTAGCGTCCGCTCATTAGAGAGTGTAAAGATCCAATATGTCAACCACTACGATCGACTGAATCGTATAGGACCTGTAAGGATCAGCTCTTTTGATACCATAGTTTTACAAGTGATCTAATTATACATCTCGTTGAAAAGCTGCCACGCCAATTCCTGCTGCAACATCATATTTTTATCGATCTTGTATAATTTTGTAACAACGTTATTCCGTTTGGTGTTTAAAAATTGTTCCCGCTAAAAAACCGTCGTCAGTAGAATATATGAATACAGTAATGCTTCGGAAGGCAACTACCATTCAGACCGAGTAAGACTACTACAAGGTATCATCCATTGCTCCGCAGTACGCATTGTTTTTGCGCTGTAATTTTTTAGCCTCTACTATCGTCAATGAACGATACAGCGATCGTGAACCCAACGATATTCTTACGTAAATCTTCTCTTTCCCTGATTAGGTCGTCACTCAAATCGCAACTGCAACTGCATTTAACGCCTATACATCATCTTTTAGTTGATCAAAAAGAACCCGTCGCGAGAACTAACTCCCTACGTAGCTGTTAGGTCCGCCCTAACTTTCGCGCGAACGGTTACCTGATCTAAGCAAAGTCCACACGTGGTTTTTTTCCTAGTTGGTGGGCATATGACCGCAACTCGTTTGTCCCCCCACCCCAATAAGGAACCCCACGCTTTGGAATGTCTTAGAAAGAGCTAGTGTAGCGACGGTGCTGGCGATGCAGTGGTGCCAGCAGCCCAGAAGCGTGGCACCAGCATAAAAAGGCCAGCTGACAAACCGGCTAGGGCGGCCATGATCCGTCATGATCACTCTATGAGATCTTCGAGGTCCGGTGAATTTACCCCGTTTGGTCCGTATCGAGACCAAAATCTACTGCCGTGTGCCCTCCGCTAGGCCCATCGGTATCTCCCGCGTCCTTTACTTAGGCTCTGCGCGTCGTCTTTCATCGTCATCATCATAGTCACTACGGCCGCTTCTGCCGTCACTCTACGAGTCGCGTATCCATCGAGCCAATTTCCGTTAACTTGCCAGCGAGCAGGAAGATGGCGAAGGCGACTTTATGAAGCTTATTGAGCTGGCGGTATGCTTCCGGCGGCTGAGGTTTTTATGTCCGTTGCAAGCGACTGAAGGGACACGTACGCGGTATAGAGCGTGCTAATGCTACTACGTAGCAGCTTAGATGGGTGTCAGCGTGGAGTAAAGCGCGGGAAAGAGCGTAGTTTAGGCACCGGAGGGCGTCAGACAGTGGATGGGCAGCAGCTTAGGCCGGTCTAAGGAAAACACCTAGCTGTTTTCAGCTCCTAATATCATCTCATCTTAACACCCCTAGGACTACTGCTGGTAGCCAATACTGCATACTCGCTCGTGTCTCCTTCCCACTCCTCAAAGGACTCATCTCTCACCTCATCAAACGAAAGGGATATTCATCTCTCTCTCTCTCTCTCTCTCTCTCTCTCTCTCTCTCCGTGTCTGTCTCTCTCTCTCTCTCTCTCACTTTGTTCCTTCTCCTTTCCTTTTTTTAACGGGTGCATAACGCCCGCTTCGAGTTAAGAAGCTTTGATAGGCTTGCGCCTATGGTCCTTTGGATCGTGTCCCTTGTGGTTAGTCATACGATCATCTCAGCATCATCGTCATCCATTGTGGTGGTAGCAGCAACATTCCGATCGAGCGCTGACCAGATCGTCCTATGTTCAACGATCGCTACCTGTTCAGCTGAAAGACTGCGTAGAAAGGATTTGTAGACCTGACTGCATGACGGCTCTTGAACTGTAGATCACTGAAGAAACAGCACTTATAGGACTAATATGACTACGAAGGAATAGATTGCTTCGGCGATGGGAAGCGCAACCAACAAGCAGGGTCGATTTAATTATAATCCAGAGTATTACCAGTTAGTTAACAGCACGTACTTAGACAACTAACAGGACTAATAATCGGAAGAGGCACAAGGCTCAGGTGTTTCCGTAGCCTATATTGTTATACTTATCTCTCTTTGTCAAGTCAGTTCACTTCACTAACCTGTACTGCTTTTCCTCATTCATAGTGTTTCTATCTCGTCTGCCCAAATCGAAACTATCATTTTAATATTCTTTAAACCGACCATCTAGAATCTAGCAGTACGGGGAAAATGATACGTCAAATATCTGTAACGCAGAGAGAATCCTTGTATTCAGTCAATCGATCAGTAGTTAATCTACTACCAAACTCGACCTTAAGATAGGATATGTATTTAGTCGCAAGCCAAAGCCACAGTCAATACTTTTACATATAGCGACTTATATTTGCGATACTCAATTGGACTGTGTCTTTTTCAGTGCATACTACAAAAGACAGTACGAAAGTACGCTAGCGAACTATGTAGCACCTACGAGGGTCAGTCCATAACTTAATCCAGTAACCAACGAGAGCGGCAGTATCGATAATAGAGTATGTGCTACGTACGGAGAAGTAATGAACGTTAGCTTAAACTTCCTTTGAATATTTGTAGCAATGCATAATGGCGATATCGATCGAACCAGGAGTAGAACTAGCCAGAGAACCATTTATACTTCTGTCTCTCTTCATTAATATGGCAATGCAGTAACGATATTACTATCCTTTCAGATCATACGCACTAACATACAGCAGTGGGTGGCAAACAGGCACGCGTCAACCAAAGAGCCTAGATAGAATTCAGGCGGGGAAGAGAATCCAAGAGGACAAAGAAATAGCTGCTAAATTGAGAGAGAGAGAGAGCAGAGAACAAACAGAACCGCGGTGGAGTCCAAGAGTCATATCGTTCTCATAGAACAGCCAGTCAAAGCCGACGAAGCTGCAGCTTCCCCAGACATCGGCTGCTGGGAAAGAAGAACGTCGGGTGGGCTATAGGTACGCTGCGAGTCGTCCTCCCATGCGAATCCCTCAGATGAGGGTGATTCACCGACGTAGAGGGGCTAGAGAAGCAAAGCGGCGACAAGACCAGCGAGGCGTAATGATGAATCTATGGAACATCGAACCTAGAGTCACATCCCCTTGCTCCGATCTCGATAGGGTTTCCCAACCTACCTCACTGTGCAGTGTTTCTAGCAACCATTCTCTGAACTCCAAGCCTCACCGCGCGACCTTCCCCGACTTTGCTTGCAACAGCAGTAAGTAGTAATGCTTTTACTACGGGACGGCATCGTTTACTTTAACAGACACAGAGAGATTCATGCTATCTCGGTTTTTCTCACCCTCAATCCAGGGGGCAGTTAGGATGTCGCCCGTCCCTTTATCGGCAGCAGTCTCCATAGAGAATGAGAGGAAATGCGGAAGTCTTGTGCCA